ATAATATGCACATGCATCAAACTCCTAACAGATGAATTTTATTAGCATTACTTGGTTTACATAAATTGTTCATTTTTAGGCAACTTGAAGCGTTCGTACATAGACAGTTGTCGCTTTCATACGAAACGCGTGAGCTTCCTGAGTTTCTGGATGAACCCTATATTATTGAACATGTGACCTACATATGCAAGGTTATCCTTCACTCAGGTGAATCATGTAACCTATAATGGCTCAGTTTTAGGGAGTTTGTGTTTCCTGGTTAACTCTTCCTTTAGTATCCTTTATGTCTGCGTTCCTTAATACTTACATTTGGAAAGTGATGAACCACTGTAATTCCCACAACGCTAAGTAAAAACATCAAAACAAGTGAAGATTTATTAAATCAAAACGATAGACGACCTAAGCCGAAAACGCGCTCATTTATATATACACTTTACACCCATTTCGATTATTGATAATAATAAAATAAAATAATTTATATGAAAAATGCTCGGAGTTATGACAAACCACATGCAGAATGTCATGATGAGCATGGTTCACGTTAATTTGACACAAGAATATGCATTCCTAAATAAACATCACACTCCAATAAATAATAGTCATACCAAAAAATGTGCGAACCGGGTAGCCAAGCCACACTGAATAATTATCACACTTAATCAAAGGCGGATGTGATATAGCGATAAAATCATAATGAATAAGAAATGTACCTTTGTCTTATCAACCCGTCTGACAGCATCCTGTAGTATCTGTCCTGCACATTGAGTGGTTCAGAGCTGTTCTCAAGGCCCGTGATTATAAGAGAACCATAGCGAACGGTGATTGCTCGCTCACGATTTTGAGTACGTTGAGATTGGGGTCCTTTTAGTTTGGTGGTTGGATTGTAATTCTGTTTCTCGAGCTTTTAGTTAACTGTTGGGACGGTGTTTATAATCGATCGCATGACGGATTCACTAGCTGGTTTTATTACAAGACTTGGGCTGTACAGTGTACTTGATGGTTAAGTTCGATCTCTTTTAGCCCTGCTAATGGGATCTAATCATCTACAGCAGAAGTATTTGGGAAAACATTTGCATTCTCAAAGTATGCGCTGGAGGAAACAAGACTCATGAGAGAGCCAATCGCTGTCGATGTTATGACAATGCATAGTTTCAGAATTTTCTCGAAAGTGTTCATATACCTTCCATCTCTACTAGTATTGCCGAAGATGATATTCTTACACGCACAGCTTGCCCCTGTTTTTTATCCGTTTCTGGAAACTTTTTGGAGTTACTGACAATCTTTTTCCTCAGATATGTCATAAGACTGGTGATATTGTCCCGTAAATGTTTGGCATTCTGATGAGTCGGCTTCCGAAGAACTTCAACGGAGCCTCCAGAGACCCAAAAGGAGCCGAAGGGTCCTAGCCAATCAGAGTATGATGGAACGTTCGAGAATTCCAGTGTGGTGTGCTACCATTGGTCGGTAGCATAATATGTCGTTAACGGATTGGCTGAAAAATGATGTTGATTTAACAGACGCCAACATCTATAAATACCCATGATTTTCTGTACAAAAATGAACCTTGGGATAAAGTATTTTCTCTCATACTTGTGTCTTCTCTCTGGTGTTCAAGTCGCTGTGTAGTTCTAGACTGTGGGTTACTGGAATAGCTTAGGAAACCAATATAGCGTTCGAATCCACAAGACTTATCAGTGGCGACGGGGCTGGGATACTACAATGAATATTTCCTTGGAGCAACTAGAAGCCTATATGGTACGTCAAGAAAAGAGGTTTGAAGAGTCCCAAATTAGAATCATGGAAACTCTGATGCAGAAATTCTGCCTGTCCGAGAGAAACCCTGCTTCTAGTGAATCTCAAGTATCACATACTGATTCAGTTATTAACTCCATCCATGAACTTAATTTTGATGGCGTGGGAAGTATAACATTTGATTCTTGGTTTAAGAAGTATGAAGATTTGTTTTATATTGATCTTTGCAAACTAGATGATGCTTCAAAATTCAGAATACTTCTGAGAAAACTTGGGACTATGGAACATGAACGCTATAGCAACTTCATTCTTCCGAAGAATCCACGAGATTTTAGTTTTGATGATATAGTCAAAACCCTGTCCTAAATCTTCGGAGAACAATTATCTCTATTTAATATCCGTTATCAATGCTTGAAAAAAACGAAAGAATCAGGAGATGACTGGGTGAAGCATGCAGGAATTGTGCATCAAGAATGTGAGAGGTTCAAATTGTCTTCCATGACTGAAGACCAATTTAAATGCCTAGTGTTTATCTATAGCCTGCGTTCACCCGAGGATGCTGACATCCCAACGAAAATTCTAAGTAAACCAGAACACTGCCCCAATATAACACTTCAGGAAGTACCTACCGAATGCCAAAGGTTAGTGAATCTGAAGCATGATGCATCGATGGTAGAGAACGACAAACGGTTCCATCATGTCAATGCAGTTGAGGAAAAAGTCCCACAAGGTTCCAGTACTCAGAATTATCATAATGAAGGTAACAAACCATCGTCCTCATGCCGGTTATGTGGCGGTTGGCACTTCGAAAGGTTTTGTCCGTTTAGAAAGCATCGTTGTACAGTGTGTTCCAAAAAAGGGCACAAGGAAAGCCATTGGAAAACCCGAAAACGCGGCCAACCGAAAGAGTATTCTAAGACATTCAAACCACAAACACCTAAAGTAACGGTAGCTCTTCACAAAGCTGGCTCCCATAACCGCAGAAAGTATGTGTCTCTCAATATTAATGGGTATGATGCCCGCTTACAGTTAGATACAGCCTCTGACATAACGCTTATAAGCAGGAAAACGTGGGAGAAAATTGGGAGACCGAAAATATATTCAACTCATCAATTAGCACATAGTGCATCCGGGGGAATTCTAAATATAGCTGGTGAGATTCATTATGAAGTCACAGTCAAAGACGCCACGGAGAAGGAGGTAATATTTCTGACAGATCGTCCATCACTCGATTTATTAGGGCTTGATTGGATAGAAAGGTTGAAGTCAACAGACCACCACATAAACTCAATCTGCATCAACGTCAGTACGTCGAAAGTTGATGAGAAAAACTCAGTGGAAGCATTATTAAAATGACATAAAATGGTATTTAGTGATGGTCTTGGAGAATGCACTAAATTTAAGGCTGTTTTTATCCTTGAACAGGGATCAAAACCAGTGTTTCGTCCTAAAAGACCCGTACCATATGCTGCCTTCTCAGTGGTTGAACAAGAGCTAGAACGACTTCAGAAACTGGGTGTCAGTGAAACAGTGAATTTCTCAGAAGGGGCCGCCCCGATAGTAGTACTAAGTAAGTCTAATGGCAGCGTCCGTTTATGTGCCGACTACTCAGCCGAGTTGAACGAAGCTTTAGAAACTCATCAGTATCCATTACCCTTACCTGAAGATCTTTTTGCAAAATTGAATGGAGGTAAGCTTTTCGCAAACTTGGATTTATCAGAAGCTTATTTACAGATCCCTGTTGCTGAGGAGTCTAAAAACCTACTTACCATAGACACACACAAGGGTCTATTCCGGTATAATCGACTACGCTTCGGAGTCAAGACGGCCCCATCCATATCTCAGCAAATAATGGATACCATGCTACAAGATGTTTCAGGTGCCCCAGCTTATCTAGATGATATTATAATTATGGGAGTAGATAAAATGGACTTAGAAAAGAAGCTCGACCAGGTGCTGACGCGAATACCCGAATATGGACTTTGACTTCGTCCAGAGAAATGTGACTTCTGTATGCAAAAAGTACGCTACCTTGGATTTATAATCGACAAAGATGGTAGAAGACCAGATCCGGAGAATACCCAGGCAGTGAAAACTATGCCCAGACCGACGGATGTCCCCACACTACGATCCTTCTTTGGACTAGTCAGCCATTATGGAGCTTTTATTCCGAACCTTCATCAATTACGTGCCCCCCTGAATAACCTTCTGGTGAAGAATGTAAAATGGAATTGGTCTGCAACTTGCCAAGCCGCTTTCGATGAAATCAAGAAAATACTAGTCTCGGATCTGCTACTCACACATTACGATCCATCCTTACCCATTGTAGTGGCATCAGACGCCTCAAACTACGGCATTGGAGCAGTTATTTCTCACATCATGCCAGATGGATCTGAGAAGGCGATATCACATGCGACTAGATCGTTAACGTCAGCAGAACGTAACTATAGTCAGATCTAGAAGGAAGCATTGTCGATTATCTTCGCTGTCAAGAAATTTCACAAGATGATATTTGGACGTCAGTTCACCCTACTAACTGACCATAAACCATTAATACTAATACTACTAATAATAATAATAATTTATTCTCAAATAACATTTTGTTACATGAGGCATGCCAGCTTACAGGCAAGATCAAATCGATACAAATGATACAATAATCACTGCAGTAAATTACATAGCTGGGTTGATAATTTATAAGATATGAATCTAGATGGTTTTAATCAGTACCACAGTTGGAGCGCTTCATGAAAGTTGCGTTTCGAATGTGCGACTGATGGTCAAGGATAGGTTCATTGAAGGTTGGAGCTTCTAAATGTCGCAACCTTATGTCCCTTTGGAATGCTTAAGGCTTTGAGAATGGTGCAGGATAAAATCTTTCGTTCCATATAACAAGGGGGCTGAAAGAGGGAGCAAGTAAAAGAAAGAACGAGAGACAGAGTAGGCAATACTCATGAAGGAATGTTTAAGGTATGATTACTCAGTCTAATTTTCTTTTATTAAGGTGTTTGTTAAGAAAGAGCATTTTAATAGGTAAAAGAAAATAATTGTTAACAAAAGGTGAGTGGACATACAACTGACAAATGGAGGCACTTCGAAAAGGAACTGAGAGTATGGGATTATTTGTGGTTATAAAATAAAACATAGTGCTAAAAACAGTATTGTGATATACAATTGGCTGTCTTCTTTTTATTATCGAAGCTATTAGAGCCCTTTTCATTTTTTCTGTATTATTATTACTTTTTTTTAGGTATCATAGGGTCTTGAGTAGACTTCGTATATTAGCGCATTGTCTAGTTCGCTTGTAATAGGATTTCTGGGTAGAAAGTGAAACCAATTCAACATTCTTAACACGATTTAAAGAGGTATTTTGCGTGATAAGTCAGCATCAATACCATAAGTTGGTGACATTCCACTAAACCATAAGGAGCAGTAATTAAACAAAATGTTCTGCCCTACAGACATGGGTGGATTGAATTTATCTCCCCACCTTCATGTTTGCTGGTCAGTAACGCCACCCTCCCTCCTTTTGTGATGTTAGGCTCTCTTACGTTTGTGGTAAGTATGAATACTGCTTTAATCAAAGCCCATAGTTGGAATACACTGTCTTTACTACGTCCATGTTACAAGCAAATCAGATAGTTAAAAAGTCTGTTTTATGGGTAAGATGTCCATATAGTATATCACACTGTTATGAAAATGACTAATGGTTTAAAGAAGTAAGGACTAATAGCAAATCAAAAGATATGAGAGGGTATAAAATTGTAGAAAAGAAAAGATTTCAGGGTAAGACAAATAAAAAATAAGAAACTCACAAGACTTCGTGGCCAAATTTTGAGCTTTGTATGATTGACCTTAGTAGATGAGCATCCATAAGATTGAGCTATCTGTCTACTTGCAGTAGAAAAAAAAGCATGACTTTTAGGAAGAGTAATGTACATTTAACCTATAGAGATTTGGGAACTGAAAGCCTCGGTTAGGAACATAAGGCCATGATTACTAAACAATGAATAATAGGAAAGGATAAGCCATATATATTCTGTGATTTGGTCATATTCATATTAGTAACAGTCGAACTTGCTATAATCTTGTTCTTTCTAGATACTAGGCGGTCCGTAATAAAGTGCCTCATTGGTGGGCGGGAGTTCAAGGAAATGTTGAAGCTCTTTGGAGTCTAGAAATAGGGTTATTAACTTTTTGAATCTAGTAAACGTATCACAGTTACGGATAGGCATTGGCAGCCTGTTCCACAATAAACTATACCGTACTATAAAAAACTTACAACGCATTTGTTTTTGGTGTTTTACTGTAAGTAGTGTATATGCGTTGTTTCTAAGTCTATAGGCTGGGTCGTGGGTAATAGTCGGGCAGGAGGTTAGAAAGGAGAGCCCATATATCGCTTTGCAGAGAAATATTAAATTGTTCTTTAGCCTACGGCGCCATAAAGGTTCTAAAGATAGATGCTTACATCTATCTGTGTAATCGAGATTCGAGTTACATCCTAGTAGTTGACGTGTGAAACGTCTTTGAACATCTTCTACTCTTATCTTGTCTGTGATATTCATATTAGAGAATACAAAAGAGCAGTATTCAAGGGAGGGTCGTACACATATTTTGTAGAGAGTAAGTTTACCCTCTGTTGTGAAAAAGTTTTTCATTATAAAGCCAATTAGCCGTCTAGATTTAGAAATAATAGAGGAGGCATGTTCTTCAAAGTTCAGGCTTCCTGTGTAATTAATTCCTAAATCGCGTACTGATTCGAGTGTTTGGACTCTACATTCATTTAAGTGAAGTTGCAGTTTATAAGGATGCTTTCCAAAGTGCATGATCCCGCACTTGTTGAGGTTAAATGGTAATTGCCATTTTTCACTCCATATAGTTAAGTTATTGAGGTCCTTTTGGATCTGGGATACACTTTCGCTTAGTGTCTCAGGCTTATAGCTGTATACTATTTTGAGATCATCAGCATATAATTATGGTTTCACAAATTCTATGGTGTCACATATATCGTTTATATACATAAGAAACAAAAGTGGACCTAATACGCTTCCCTGGATGACTACACTAGTGATTGGTCTAGGGGATGAGAGACAGTCATTGTACTTTACCTTCTGTTAAGAACGAAGCAAACCATGAGTACAGTGGGTTTTTTAATCCGAAGGACTTTAGTTTGACGAGTAGCCTTTTGTGTGGGACCTTATCAGAGGCTTTCTTAAAGTCTAGGAATAGGACTGATTCAAGGAGTCCGCTGTCTCGTTTCAGAGTTATATCATTCAGGTAGTCTACTAGGCATGTATCGCATGATCTGAACCTAAGAAATCCATGCTGGGAGGTCGAGATGAGATTATTAGTTAGTAGATGTTGGACTACAGCCGCCTTAACTAATTTTTCCATCACTCTAGATACCACTGAAGTTATGTTTATAGGCCGATAATTTTCAACGTTTGCTTCAGGTCCTGTTTTAATTTTGGGGATGATATGTGTAGTTTACCAGGCAGTAGGGTAACACGCTGAAGAGAGTGATATCGCGAATAGTTTGAGAAGCAAAACACACATATCATCACCTCCACGTTTTAGCATACTAGATGCAATACCATCTGGTCCATCAGTGTAGGAGTGTTTCAATGTATTGATTGCCTTGGAGACATTTTGTACATTGAATTCTACATTAGTAATTTCACAGGGAGTTACTGGGATTGGTTCTGAATCATTAAATGGTTTTTCGTTAGTTAGTGAGAAACAAAAATGTTCACTAAACAATTCTGTGACAAGTTTGGGATTTTCGTATACTTGTTTGCCTTTAATGAATATACTCCTTCTCGATTTACAGCGTTTAAGTTTATTTTGGAGTAGTATGGTGAGTGCAGAGGAGTTATTAATAAGTTCAACTGCACGTTTTTCCTGTGCGATTGCTTTTTGTTTACTTATTGTCCCTGTTCGTACAAGTATTTCTGTCATCGTTATTAAAGAGGAAAAGTCATTTAAGTTGTGGAATCGAGTACAATGTCTTTGAAGACGTCTTCTTGTACTGACCGGTATATAGAGATCTTTGGAGAACGTAGGTTTACAGTATTCTAAAGGTGCGATGTCGTTGATGATACTTTTGATGTTGTGATAAAATATATTGGTTAATGTGTCGGTATTGTTTGAGGTAAAGAAGGTTCTCCAATCAGTGCTTCGTAGGTAATTGTGTAAGTTATTCCAATCAACCTTGCGATAGTTTCTACGAAGTGTTACGGTTTTACTTCTATCGGTTGTGGTTTTTACATTAAGGCTGCATATGACAATGTTATGATCACTACCTGGGAACGTTTTTCCAATATACAAAGTATGGGGGATGAGGCCACTAGTAAAGACTAAGTCTAAGATGTTTTGATGTCTCGTAGGGCTATCGACATACTGAGTCCATTGTCCAAGCTCTAGACATTCAATAAATGATTCATTACGTCTCGGCGCTTTGACTGGCAGCCAAGAAATTTCGGGCATATTGAAGTCATCACAAATGAGCTTACCTGTGAATGAGAGGGATGAAGCTAGTGTGAATACCTCCGATAATACTGGTATATCATCTATTGATGCGTTAGGTTGACGATAAACACAGCCGAGCAGTAAGGTAATGGAATTCAACGGCTTTAATACAATCCACACTGAATCCTTCAGTTTGTTTAGTACAGGCACATCACATAGTAGTGAGTTTAGGCTAGAGTGAGCATAAATAAGGCATCCTCCGCCTCGTCCATTCAATCTGTCGCTTCTATATAAGAAGTAGTTATCAAGAGATATACTGCGGTCGGAAATATTACTGTTAGTCCATGCTTCAGATATCATAATAAGTGATGGTTGATATATAGATGCAAACAGGGCTAAATCCGTCTTTTTGTTGCAGATCGATAGAGCGTTGATAAGACATATATTGAGCAAGTGGCTTGCTAAGTTAAAATGGGTGAGGGTATCTCGGATAAAGTCGTCGTAACCCTCGCGGGTGTGAGATGAGTTTGAAGTGAGGGACTGAATGTTCTCCATTAGCTCGGTATTTCGATAGCTAGACTTAGTGAATGATGTATCAAATGAGACATCTTTGGGTCGAAGAAAGGTATACCTGTATACACTGCAAACAGACTGCAACGATGGGGAACTACACTCTTGGGTTATGACTTCAAGATCAAGTACCAGCCCACTACTGATTTTGGACAAGCAGACGCTTTATCTAGACTGATTGGCTCACAAGTAAAACAGGAAGAAGACACTTTGGTGGCAGCAATCGAGACGGAAACAGAAGTACACCGAGTTTTGGAAGACACAGTTGATGGTTTACCTGTTACTTTCAAGACCATCAAAGAAGCCACGGTAAATGACAAGACTTTAAGAGAAGTTAGTGGTTTTCGTTTTCAAGGAGAAATGCTATAAGATTTTCGCCGACGGGACTCACTCATGATTATAGACTCATGTATTATGTTTGGTGACAGAATTATTGTTCCAAAAGTACTACGCTACAAGGTTCTGAGACAGTTCCATAGCGGTCATCCTGTTATCAATAAGATGAAAGCGTTGGCTCGAAGTTACGCATACTGGCCTGCGATGGATCAAGATATCGAAACCAGATGACGCAATTGTTCATCGAGCCTACAAGTAGCCAAAAGTACAAGCAAGTATAAACCGCAGCAATGGGAAAAGCCGAATAGTCCCTGGGAGAGGCTGCATGCAGAATTCGCCAGTCCAAAACGAGGAAGAATGTATCTAGTCATAGTAGACGCGTTCACAAAATGGCCACAAATCTACGGCATGGTGGATTGCACAGCCAGTGAAACAATCAGCAAGTTATCCGACCTGTTTAGCTGCTTTGGAGTTCCGCAGACTTTAGTGACCAATAACGGCTCACAGTTCACTGCAGAATATTTCAAACACTTCTGCAACGTTAATGGCATTGTGCACATACGATCTCCACCGTATCACCCTCAATCAAATGGCCAGTCAGAGCGCTTTGTGGATACATTGAAAAAAGCACTAATGAAAGGAGGAGGCGAAGGGACAACTGGGCAGGTGATCACAAAATTTTTAACTTCCTACAGATACACCCCGAACCCGAATGTTTCAGACGGCAAATCTCCTGCGGAAGCCATGTTTGGAAGGCGTATTCGAACCGTCTTCGATGACATGTTGCCATCCAAATTAGTGGATGAACACAGTCACGATCCAAATATCTGCAACTTCAGTGCTGGCGACAACGTTTGTATTAAATCCTACATCGGGAAAAACCGATGGGAGCAGGGAGAAGTAATACAAAAACTGGGAAGAGTTCTGTAAAGAGTTCGAGGTGCTTTTGGGACATGTATACGTCACACAAATCAAATCCTTAAGGACAAAAGAACGGTGCAGACTCGAAGTGACCGGACGATTTTCCCGTTAGATTTAATCTTAGATGCATCAATGTCACAAACGCCAAGGAACACTGATAGGAAGCCTTGGACAAGGAACACGACAAGAATAATAGAACGCCATCGCAACCCAGTTATCAAACTACAAGTAGATCCCAGAAAGAAATCTTATTCGAGGGAGGTGATGAGTCGGCTTCCGAAGAACTTCAACGGAGCCTCCAGAGACCCAAAAGGAGCCGAAGGGTCCTAGCCAATCAGAGTATGATGGAACGTTCGAGAATTCCAGTGTGGTGTGCTACCATTGGTCGGTAGCATAATATGTCGTTAACGGATTGGCTGAAAAATGATGTTGATTTAACAGACGCCAACATCTATAAATACCCATGATTTTCTGTACAAAAATGAACCTTGGGATAAAGTATTTTCTCTCATACTTGTGTCTTCTCTCTGGTGTTCAAGTCGCTGTGTAGTTCTAGACTGTGGGTTACTGGAATAGCTTAGGAAACCAATATAGCGTTCGAATCCACAAGACTTATCACATTCGTGTTAAAGTATAGACGTCTTAGAGGTGACATTCCAATGGCCTACAGTATACTTATTACTTCTGAACATCCTCTTGAATACCTATTTAAGCTTAGTTTCAACACTAACCTAATTGGTAACGCCCAGAAACTGGAGACACAACATAACAATGCGGACTGTAAACATAACGTCTACTCTTTAGGAGTTGTCAAATGCTGGAATTTGCTGCCCGCCGAGCTAGTTCAAGCGACTTCACAGGAGTCCTTTAAGAGGCAACTGGATCTATTCTTAAGGATTAAGGATAGTATCATGCTATGATTTCGGTTTCCTCTTTTATTGTTAGCATACCTAGGTTCCTGCCTTGATGTTTTGGTGATCTCCTGTAACAGCAAAGGTTGACTGGTTAAAAGTTGACCCCAAACAACAAAGCATATACCACTAGACACGAAAGCCTGTTAAGAAAAAGCTTCTTCTATTCGGTTCACAACCATTTTAACGCATGAACTAAATGCTGAGAAGCTCGTTTATCACAAGTTTCTTGCAGCGATTAAGTAGATAAAAGAAAGTAGCATTAGATTCACAAATTTATTCAAGAACTATCATTAAGAATCGAATATCAAATAAAGGTTTAAACCCAATTCACGTTTAAAAGTTGTATTGGCAATGTTAAGCTTCCATTTTTGTTGCTTTTTTTCCAAACGAAAGAGTAAAAGGAGTCAAAAAATACTGAAAGTAGTTACGAGACTAAAATGGACGTCCAGTACCTTTTTTATAATCTGCTGTTAGTTGAGTCTCCCGTAAACTGTTCCATAGGGCCATAAGTCTGAGGGCGAAACAGTTTTTACGATCTGTGAAGGCTCACTCCAGTTGCATTCTAAATGAAAAAATAGTGATGAATCTAGTAAGAAATGTGGAGTAGATAAATAGTCAAATTACATGTTTTTTTAGCAAAGAATTTATGCAGTTGTGATTTACTTTGAGTACATGAATATTAGATAAGGTCAGCTACTATTACTTGTGCAAAGCACAACATGGGCTTAGTACCATATTGCAATGCTTTTATTAATTTGCTCCCATTTAAGTATTCCCATGCATCTGCATCCAGTTTAACAGGGAGACATGCAAGCAGAGTTAGTGTCTGATGAACAAAAAGTCCCAGCTGT